TTTTTGCTTTTTTTTTTTTTTTTTTTTAAAATGTTACCCTTCATTCCAAATATCCTGGACTGCTGACTGATTTTGTTCGCTATTTAACTGCAGTAGATGCTGGTGTTTTCTAAGGTGAACCTGTTGCAATTTTTTTGGCCCAAGCTGACTTAGAACTTTGGAATTAAAGCAGTTTATGAAAAAAAGTCTTTTCTTTAAGTGATTATAGATTACAGGAACATTTTGTATACTGAAGCTAGTACAGAAAGAATTAGAACTATAGTGAAAGAGTGGTCAAAGTATTTAGAAACATTTTGTGATTTGCATTCCTAGTCAGTAGTCACTTTTACCGTTGGAACACTAGCAGTGCCTGATAGTTCTGCAAGAGTCAGGAGTTGATTGATATTTCCAGCTTGCTTCATTTTCTGCTTTTAAAATCAAATCTGTTTTGAACCTTGCATGTGTGTACCTCAGCCTGTGAGCCATTAAAACACACTGGTCCAAATTAATCCATAGGAAGATGTTACTGAAGTGATACTCAATGAATTCATCACAATGTTTCCGGTTTGTGGGGCTTGATCAGGAGAGACGTTTAAATTTCAGGATCTTTATTGTGATTAATGGCATGTTGGTGAGCATGGGACTTGTGTGTTAGGAGTGGTGGTATGACTTGAAGATTTTCATATGTAGGTTGCTTATTAGGACCAGCATCACATTTGGCACAAACTGGCAATTTTCTTGGTCTCAGCCACTGTCTTTTAAAGGGTTCTTCCAAGAAAAGGCTGAGGCACATTTGGTGGGTGTGGCATCCAGGCTGCTGCCTTTTATCTGAATTAAGATTTTTTTATCTCCAGAATTCCACATCCAATGCCTTTCACCATCAGTGCAGTAGGAAAAAAGCATGGAGCTAATAGCAAATGACAGTTCATTATTTTACCACTTGGTGGCATCAAACTACTACTAAATGTGATCCTCAAAGGTCAGAAACTGGACTAAGTATTATTGTTACCCAAACAAAACAAAGTGCAGGAACTAGAAGAGGGGCAGTAAGAGATTCATGTTTATTCTGTCCAACCAAACCTGGGCATGAGGGTGTTTTTTCTCATAGTAAGACTGGTTCTGGGGGTCTCTTAGCTGGGCAGAATGTTAGTAAATACACTGTTGGGAGCAATTCTGTGATGACCCTTGGGAAGCAGCAAGATGTGACCTAAACTTATTTTCCCTAACATCCAAGACTGATTTGTTGGTGATTATTTTGATGTGCCTTCCTTGCTACATGTAGTCAGATTATCCCATTTTCCCCATTTAGAGTCTGACCAGTCGCAAGAGCAACAGTCCAGTGAGGAAGAGGCAGATGATACGAAGGAGGAGGAAGAGAAGGAAGATGATGCAGAAGAGCCAAGCTTTGTGATGGGAAGAGGATGATGCAATTGCAGTGGCAGCTGGAAACAACATTCATTGCTTTATATTCAGGAGCATGAAAATCTTTCATCTCAGCCGGGCAGAATCCATCGGCATATGTTGTACCTGCTTAACGGTGGAGGTGTGACCTTCGCATCTGAGTTCTGAAGGGTTTTTTGGTAGATGCCAAATAACAGAATTTTCTTAACTGCTTGTAAAACTGCTGTGCAGTCTGCTATAAGGTTGCTCTAAAGAGTCAGCCATGAGTCTTTGTGACCCTAGAGTTCTTTTTAGCATGGCCCAAAGCATTTGCTGTCTGAAAGCTAAACCATATTCATCAGCAGACAAGGTTCTTTGGGCGAATCATATTCATCAGCATTTAAGGCAAATTCTACTGTGAGGGCCATGATACCCAACTTCCACTGAAATTGATAGAATTAGGATGTATGAATCTAAGGGCAAAAGCTAGCCTGTAGCAGAGAATGGTTTGGCCCCAAATTTCCCTGCACTGTGAGTGTTTTCAGTTTAGGGGTTTGTGACAAGCCCATCTCTAACCCAAAGAAATTAGTTTATGATCCTAGGCAGGTTCTATAGAATTTTTTTTAACGGGTGATCCCTTTTTTATTACTTGGATGTGCCCTACAATTTTCTTCTAAATTTTTCTAATTAATAAAAAGGGAATGTCTCTCACTTCTTGTCTGATCTTATTTGAATGGGAGTTAACTAAAGTAAAGTACTTTTTGCCAAATTTAGAGCTTGTTTAATAGGCTGAGGAGTCTTTTAAAGAGTTTAAACAGTATTTGGTTTCATCAGAGTGGGAGGTGGTGAGTTGGTATGATTTTAGGGACCTTGAAGTAGGGGAAAAATACTTAAATCTGTGGTAGAGCTCTAATCTGAGTCTTTTTCTGGATTAAGGGACAAAAAGATGAACGATAAAGCATTTGAAATGGTATAGCAAAAACAGATTAGCCAAGAGATTAATTCATCAAAATATGTAGGAGGCCCATAAATTCCCCAGAAATGGGGAACTGTGTCTCGTTCTTTCTGCTTTGGTGTTGCATTAAGTGTTTGATATATTTGAGACATACAGACTGTTTTGTTGGAGGTCTGCAGAAAGTGCTAGAGCTGGATGGGCCACAGTGCAGTCTCAGGGTTGAATCATGCTAGTTATCTCTTTTGGCGAAAGGAGACCTCAGGTCCCTTGAGCTGCCAATTTAGCTTACTCCAACATCATTGGCAGCTCAACTAAAACCAAAACCGTGTTGTGTTCAGCATCTGTAGTTTGGACTGAAGAAAACCATTTATTTTTCCAACTTGGAAGTGCCTGTCTCTTCTCAGATGCTTTTGCTGTGACAGCTCAGTATCCAGAATACAGTGCAACTTTTAATTAATTAATTAATTAATTTGTTTTTGTCAAGCCTAAGCTAATAGTAAGTTACCTAAATATATTAAAGGTATTGCAGATGAGCTCTTTACATTAGATTGTGCTGCCTGACACCAGTTATGTTACTTGACTAAATTGAGTTTGTGTAATGGCATCTCTGTAATGTTATTTGCCTGCTCAGTGGGGAAATGCTATGATTCATCACAAGTGACATTTGAGTTCAGTTCCCTTGTGCTTCCCTCCCTGTTTGCTTTCTTCCAGTGGCAAGGTAAGGTTTTTCTTCTAAAGGTGGAAAGCTACAGGGGACTGGCTCAGAAGTCATCAGATGCTGAGAGGTATTCAGAGCAAGCTGTGACAACCTTACTTCCTCTATGCTACTTCAAGTCTAAACCCTTAGCTCCTCACAGGGACTACGGTGGAAGACAGTGAATGGTCCATAATTAGGGTGACTATATGTCCTGTTTTAGCCAGGACAGTCCTGGATTTCAGAGGCTGGTTCCTGCCAGCTGTTAGGAATTATAATGGATATCCTGGAAACACAGGTGTATAGTCTGGCTGGGTGCAGAGCACCTTGCAGGCAGGCACAACTACCTATCAAGCACGCAGCCCCACCCCTGCCAACCTGTGAGAGTGGGGTTGGGGAGGGAAGAGGCAGGATCCCAGATTTCCATGTGGGTAGCCTATCCATAACCAGTGACATCTTCCTCATGGACACACACTGGTGGGGAGGGTTGTGCCCTTTCTTTGTTCTATTCAGAGTAGGGTGAGCAAACACTACTACTTTTGAGTGCTAGCAAGATCCATAAGAAGTAATTAACCTTGCTTTGATATTTTTTTTTTTTTTAAAACTGTTCAAGGAACATGAGTCTCATGAATAGGCTGTAGCCTGGGAGGCAGCATTTCCTTTCTAAGCTGGGCTGAATGGAAAGTGGTAGTTTTTGTTAACTGAGAAACATATTGCACTTTCTCTCGCTTGCACAGAGGCTGGACTTTTCTTAGGGATAAAATGAATTCAGGCTAGGCTACCCAGCCCTGTTGTTTGATTCCATCATTTCTTACAGTGAATTATTCGTATCACAAATCTCCTTTCAGGAACATTCAGCTTGTAAGTGAAATGCTAATGAAGGTGGACAGAACGCAGTGCTGAAGCTTAATAAATGTCCTCTCCTTTGTTGGGAGGACTGAACTTGCATGGTGATTTAGGCTGCATTTGGTGTATGTTGCTGTGATGATAAGAGCTCCTGTAGGGTTACATCCCAGGGTTAGGGTCCCGTTTTCTACAACACGAGGGAGCATTAATGAGCAGTAAGGTAGAGGGTAGGGTGCATTAGCACCCAGTGTGCACACGCTTAGCTTGCAGTAAGGGCAGGGTAGCTTTACTCTATTTTTAAACCGCATCACTTGGAGGATTCAGCAGAGGTATCAGCAAAGTAACGGGAAGAAAAAAAGCCAGCAGAGCACGCGGTTTTCTCAGGCCCCTGAGCTGCACCTGTCAGAAAGGACTACGTTACCTTGTACATGGAGGAGGGGTGTCAAAAATCCTCCAGCGCAGGGGCCGGGTGGAGCCTACAGCTCCCCTCCCTGCAGGGGTTGCATCTAGCAAGGGCTCGAGGGGCGGTGGATTCCCGAGCGCCTCCCTCCGTGATCTGAAACCCACGACCGGGAGTGTCCGACGGCGATGGGCAGCCCCGCTCTTCGGCAGCAAGCCGAAGGCTGCAGCTGCTCGGAGCGGGGCCCGGGCCGGAAACGCCTGGGTGCCCCCCGCGCCGCCCGCTTCCTGCC